CTGGAGCGAAACATCAAGGCTGTCAAGGAAATCATAGAGAGCAACCCTGCAGGAGTGAAGCTGGAGCAGGTCCAGGAGCTGATGAACCACATCACGTGTGTACACAAACAAATCCAGATCTATTGGAAACCTTTCTATGAACCTCCTTGTTGTTTGAGCTCATCTATGGGTTTGTTGTTTCTTCAGAGGTGTGATGTCCTACGTCAATATAAAGCTGAACACCACAGAGGAGAGCCTGAACCTTCTCCACAGCGATGCCAACGCCACCGACGCCAACCTGGACGCTCTGACAGATGAGGCTAATAAACTGGAGCAGAGCGTCAAGGACCTGAGACAGGAAGTGTACAACGCCAAGAACGCCAACATCAAGGGTAGGAAACCATCGCTTACATTGCGTGTGTTTTTTAAGACTTTTTTGCTAGCAGAAAAAAATCAGCATGTCATCAGCGTATTGCATCATTTTTCATTAATTGAAAAAGGATCATCTTACAAAAGAGCTGAGGAACCTGTCCTGAGGAATAACCTATGTCATTTTAAAATACCCGACATGTCACATTCACAAGAGTCAGATTATCGCTTATAAATGATTCAATAATAATAATAAAGTTTATTTATAAAGCACTTATCAAAACCAATGTCACAAAGTGCTTTAAAGAAAAAAGAAAAATCCCAACAGTCAAATACACAACAATAAAATCCTATTAAAAAAGCATGAAAAATAAAACAACAGTCCAATTAACAGAGGGAAGAGAAACAACCGAGACAGAGATCGGCTAAAGTTAACAGTAAAACATATAAAACATCATGGATGAAACAAGGATTATAAGAAGGTCTTATGATAAAAATGTGTTTTTAAAAGTGATTTAAATGAAGATACTGATGTAGCTAGTCTGAGATCCTCAGGCATCCTACCTCCTCTGTATTTCACGTCTTACCTCACTGTGATTTTCATGCACTCCTGTGTGTTTTTAGGTGCTATGGACACTATTTCAGATGCACACTTTAAGTCCACGATGGCAGAGGTCCGCGCCAACGCCTCCACCAGCAGCCCTGAAAGCACAGTGGAACAGTCGGCCTCAGTACGGAAAGCCACAGAGGACAAACTGAACAGCGGTCAGAAGGAGTTCAACCGCAAGCTCGAAAGAAACACGCAGAAGCTCGACAAACTGTCCGACGAGCTGGATAAGTTTGACCTGACGCCGATTAGTGAGAAGGTTAGAAAACGCTGAAGGAGCTGCATCACAAAGAGGGGGACTCACACTGTATGCTGATGATGATCTCCTGTTTGTTCATCTCTCTCTCTGCAAGACGTGCGGTGGCGCGGCCGAGGGTGACAGCTGCTCCGGCTCTCCCTGCGGCGGTTTGGGTTGTGTCGGCGAGGACGGGGCGCCTCGGTGCGGCGGGGATGGCTGCAAAGGCGTCGTCACGACCTCCCAAACTGCTCTGAAATCAGCCAAAGACCTGGACCAGGAGATCCTCACCGCCATGCAGGAGGTGGACAAGCTCTCCAGACTGGTGAGTGAACGAAGAATGGAGGGAAAACTGAAGATGGATGAAGGTAAATATCGTATTCACTTTTTTTGTTTTGTTTTTGTTTCATGAGGTGTGGGAGGCAAACACGCGCGCAAACAAGGCTAAAGTGGACGCTCAGACGGTGCTGGTCAAATCCAACCAGAGCAAAGAGAGAGTGGAGCAGAGCAACGAGCAGCTGCGCAGCCTCATCAAAGAGATACGAGACCTGCTCACCAGTGAGTGCACAACACACACACACACAACCTGCTGAGGCACCAAAAACATGATAACATCAACTGAGTGATTTGTGTTTTGTGTCTGGTTACTCCAGATGACAAGGCCAATGTGTCCGTGATCGAGGCAGTGGCCAACGAGGTGCTGGCTCTGGAGATGCCGACGTCGTCCGAGAAGCTGAAGGAGCTGACGAAGGAGATCCGGGAGAAGGTCAACTCTCTGACCAGCGTAGAGACGATCCTCAGTCAGAGCGCCAGTGACATCCAGATTGCGGATGCGCTGCTCAAAGAGGCCAAGGCTGCAAGGTAACACACAGCTCTGAATCAGGAAAACAAGACGTCCTCCAAAACCAAATATTCTCATGCAAAAGATCAGTTATCTGATCTCATCATGTCTTCACTTTATATGTTCACAAAGTAACGTGTACACTTTCTGTCCATCAGTGAGCAGGCGACTAACATGAAGGAGACGGCAGATGTGGTGAAGGCAGCCCTGGTTGAGACTGAGCGTGCTCAGACCATCGCCATGGACGCCATCGAGCTGGCCCAGAACAACACAAAGGGAACCCTGGAGCTGCTGATCTCTGTGAGCGAGCGTTCAACAAACAATAACATCAATATGTCCAACATGTTTCTTGAATGTTTGAATATCGAATGCCCTTTTATCCTGACTGGAGAATTAGCACCACTAAGTGTTCATCTTGATGAACTTACTTTTGAACATCTGCAAAAGTAAAAACGCTTTAAGAATCAATACATTTCTTTTGCTTAAATTTTTCAGAAGTTCCTTTCAAATTTGTTTTATTTTTCTTCAGAACATGTAGCCAACGCTTGATGTATGACATGTCAAAATGTAACCGTTTTATCAACATCGTACAAACTTAAAGAAGACACTGAACTCTCCATCTTCTGTGCTCGGGGTCAGGAAAGCTCAGCCAATGAAACGTCATAGCTCGCCTCAGGTTTTAATTGTTTTGGAGACATTCAAAGAATCCTCTGTCTGCACTGTTTTGATCATAATCTTTAATTTCCTTTTACTTTGTTATTACGTTTTTAAAAGTCCTCATCTCTCCGACTGATTTAAGCTTCATGTGCCAATAATTGAAGCAGAATTTTTAAATGAAACACCAGTTTTAAATGTGTGTGTGTGTGTGTGTGTGTGTGTGTGTCAGGTGGAGTCTGAGACGGCTGATTCGGAGCTGAAGCTCAGCAACACGACGGGTCGTCTGGTTCAGCTGGAGCGGGAGGTCGGCCTGCTGAGACAAAACAACCTAGAGGTGAACCAACTCGCCAAGGCGGCCGACTGGGTCTCGAACCAGGCCAGACTGACCGCTGAGGAAGCCCAGCAGGTATTACACACACACACACACACACACACACACACACACACACACACACACACACACACACACACACACACACACACACACACACACACACACACACACACACACACACAGTAGAATGTAGAATGTATTTGAGTAACCCTTATCTGTGTGTGTGAAGGAGTTTGACGAGGACGTGAAGGACAAATTGGAGAAGGTGGAGGACCTGGTGGAGGTTAAAGGGGAGTCGGTGCTGCAGGCGAAAAGGAAAGCAGACGAGCTGCAGAAGGAAGCCAGAGAGCTGCTCGCTCAGAGCAGCAGCAAGCTGCTGAGACTCGGAGGTAGGAACATGTTTTAGAATTTCTAAAAGATTTATTTCCGGCCATTTAGCCTTTATTTGCATAGGACAGTGGAGAGAGAGAGAGAGAGAGAGAGAGAGAGAGAAATGCACCTTTAAGAAAAAGCTAAAGACCCAGCTCTTTCATGAATACCTACTAACTTAATGATGATGGTCTCCATATTATTGATGATGATGATGGTAATGACGATGGTTTTTGTTTGATAACGTCGACTTATAAGATGGTTTCTATACTGATTAGAGCTCTCAAGAACTGCCCTCAATGTTGTGCTTTGCCTCTGGTCACTTCCTGTCAGCACCTGTGTGTCCAATCAGACTCAAAGCTGATCGTTTGCTCTTACTCACATTGTTCCCTTTTTTCTAGATCCTTGTTTGTGTTGTTCTTACTCTTTGATGTACGTCGCTTTGGATAAAAGCGTCTGCTAAGTGAATTGTAGAAATACCTCCTTCCTGTCAACACCTTTTCTCTCCTGTGGTTTTCAGAGTTGGAGATCTCCTATGAGGAAAACCAGCGGACTCTTGAGTCCAAAGCTGCCGAGCTGGCCGAGCTGGAGCAAACGGTGCGCCGGGTCCTGGAGGAGATCAGCTACAAAGTGACGCTGTACAGCACCTGTCTGTGATCAATCACCTGGACACAGCGTCACCTCAGACTCTTTACTGTTCTCAAAGGTTTCAGCTGGGATTCTAATGGTGCCAAAGAAGCCCTGAGCAGACGTGCATACATAAATTATAATTTACTCCTTTACCCTGTGATCACGAGTCATTTCTAGTTGTTTTCCTGAGATCAACTTATTTATCTCGTTGGCTCAAGATATCAAAAATGTGTTTTCTCATTCTCTGGCGATCCTGAAAACGAAACGACGAGCTGATTGGTCAGAGCCCACACTAACAAGGAAGGTTGAGAATATTTCTGAGTGTTTTGTGCTTTGCTTTTCTCTGAGTACACGATCAGTGAATCTCAAGGACACAACTGGGAGTTACTCGTCATCACTGGAAAGCTGAGTGAACTTATTACATGGATGCATGTCTGCTTAGGACGCCAGTGAAATACAGCTGTCACCCGAGTGTTTGAAAGCTATCGCGATGTTAGACCTCTCAGTGCCAAAAGTTTGTCTGTTCGTGTCTCTGCCAACGACTTAACACTCAGCCGTGCCAAAAAGTGTTTTAACAAATGAGACGAGTTTCAAAGCTGCCAAAGTATTAAAGTCCCAAAAGGAAACCACTAAAAGCCAAAGTGACCTCAGTGCTTCAAACACAGAATGTGTAGAGAATATACGATGAAGCTGTGAGATTTAAATGAGACTATTTGATAGACATGTTACAGTTTTATACTTCCTTTAAAAGCCTAAATATATTTAACAGTAAGAGGGAGCAGAATCATTTTGTTAACAGTTCTGTGACGTCAGAGAAATATTGACTTGAAAAATAAAGTTTCTCAAACATCCCTGGTGTTGTTGTTTTCTTGTTTGATAAAAGAAGAGTCAAAAAGGTGAAACTAAAAAGTGTTAAAGTCTGAAATGTACCAAGAATCATTTCTGTATCTAAACATGACACACAAACTGGACAAAGATCTCACTTTCTGTCGACAAGAACAGAGAAACAGATTTTATTTTTCAGTTTGGCATTCAGAAGATTTGTTCCTGTTAAAATAAGAACGTCGTCCATGAAATGAAAATTATTCAACATTCATACAAAGGAGGACACAACACAGGCGGAACTCGTCAACCTAACCGTGACGTAACAGACTCGTTTAAAGATGGTTTTAAAACAGACTTCTCTCCCTGAAACTGTTGAAACACGACATGAGCAGAATCTACATGGAGAGTTCTGTCTTTAATGCGCGCACAAAGGTCGGACAAATGAGGAGACGTGTAAACCAAAGCAAGAATTTGTTAAGAATCAACAAAATTAGGGTTTTCTTTTTTTTTAAATTGTCTTTAAGGAAACAAAACCTGAAAAAAAAGAAAAATTCAGACCATCCTGTGACAACGGAAAGGCTTTTTAATCCCGTCATCTGATGGATAATGGCAGTTTGATAAAGTGGGGTTAAAGAGGATAACACCGACGCTGTGGAAGGAAAAGTCCTCCCACAAAAACACTGCTGTAAATGTATAATGCATCTTAAATCCTCGTGCAGACCCCGTTTAGTCCGACTTCAACACCCTCCACCAACTTCAGCTTTAAATTCTGGAACAAAAAATGTGCAACTTCTATTTTCTCCTGAAGTTCACTTGGGTAAAGAGCGGGTACGGATGTGGGTTTTTTTTTTTTCTGTAAGCAGGAGCCTCAAGTTTGTTTCTAATCTTTGCTCTTGGGGCCGTGTGGGGGAGGAGCGCCCTCTACAGGAGCGGAGCTGGGGACGGAGAGCAGCTGCCCGGCGTGGATGCGTTCGTTGACGCGCAGCTGGCAGCCGTCCTGCAGCATGCGCAGAGCTATCCGGGCTATGTTGCGTGAATCGTCGAGGCCGGAGTGAGGACGGCCTTCGTACTTCAGACCCAACTTCTCCAACATGGTGCTCAGCTTTGTCTGTGCGCGAGGAACCTGCGGAGGAACAGAGCTGTTAGAATGGATTTGAGCTTGTAGAGTGCTTTTCTACAACACAAAGAACTTCTTACACCGCAGGTCACACACACACATTCACACACTGATGGTAGAAACTGTCCATCACTAACACATTGTCACATGAAGCAGCAGGAGTAATGTGATGTTAAGTGTCTTGCCCAAAAACACATCAAGGTGTGACTGCAGGAGCTGGGATCGACCGACTCTAACATTGAGCCACAGAGGACCAAAAGTTGTTTAACGTCCCATATTTGATCGAATGAGCATCAATTCAATATCCTGATTTAAAGAGGAAGCATTGATCAATATCACATCTTTAGGTAAACCTGTTTTTGGATTTCGTGCAGTCATTTTTTACTTCAAAGCTTCAAGCAAATACGAAAACATAGGTCTATTTTTTTCTTTACACAAGAACAAAAAACAACAACGATTTTTCTTGAAAAATCTATGAAAAAAGTTCAGCAACAACAAAATAAAATAAAACGAAACACGTTAACGATGAATAAAGTGTCATGATTTTGATAAAGTGTGTGTCTCTGTATGAGCACCTTTTGATTTGTGATGCACTGTTATCTATACAAGACTTCATGTTGTACTGGACTAGTATAAAGACAATAAAGTGAATATGATAACTGTTGCTGCACACTTTCATTATCAGGGTTTTATATTTTTGAGTATTTTCATCCATATTATTCTTAGTGTAAGTAAAATACGACATTTTAATAATCAGAAAATAAAAAAACAAACCTTGTAGAAGTTTCCGTATAACTTTCTGATGTTTATCCATTTCTTTGCAAAGCTGGGATATTTGAGGCGGCTGATCTGACACTGGATGTTGAGGAACTTGCTCATGTCCCAGGCACTAAAGACGAAAAAAAAGAAGACACGAGTAATGAAGCTGTCAGTTTAGATTTCATCACACACAAACAGGAAACAGACATGTTAAGTTCAAACATACCCGTCAGTAAGAATGGCGTATTTGTACTTTGTCCCGAGCTCTCTCTCCTTCAGCCAGTCGACGACCCGCTGCAAGACACCTGGAAACGTGTCGGCTTCATCCACCATTTTCTGCACAAGATCACATCTTCAAACTCACTGAAATATTCACATATTCAAGAGACACTGGAATCAAACAGAACCAGAACCACCGACCTGTGTGATTCCTGTTAACTTCACACAGAAGTCTGAAAAGCTGTGGGTTCAACTCTGGTCTGACATATTCCTGAAAAGAGTCCACCTTCAAACAAAAACAAAAGACACATAAACATGTTAAGAAACCAAACGACTCCACCTGAAAACTAAACATCCTCACTAAATCAACTCACTATTTCTAGCGTGTGCGTGTTGATGAGAACCATGGGGAACTCGATGATTTCATGATGGAAGTCTGCGGGGTTATCCTCTTCACACGTTGCCTCAAAGTCCACCACGCAGATGTAGTCGTAGTAGGTGTCGGTGGGCCCCCCCTCTCCTGCAGACTGCATCAGCTTGTGCTTCTTGTAGTGGCTCTTCAACCTCTTCTTCATCACGTCCTTCACACCTCTTCACACAAAATGTTTATGACACTGTTTAGTTCTTAGTTTGATCCTGGTGGTGGAAACCTTAAGTGCTCAATATTTAAGCTTAATTCATCATCAGCTTTTATATTATTTGACCTGCACATAGCCAGGTAAGCTCATTAATTTCTCTCAATGCTAAAATGATCATTAAATCATCCTGTGCATCTAAAGCATGCAGGATGAGGTTGTCAAAATCCTCGACACAGTACAATCTGAATCTTATTCTAATGATCAGAAAGTACAGTAAAAGCGTTAATAAATCTTTACATCTTCAGTCGTACTTTTAACCAAAAGCTGCGTAGTGACGAGAGAGCTCATCGAACTTTATTACACAAAAATGTTTGCAACGCATTTGTGTAATTTAGATAGCGTGTAGGAGTTTGCCTGCATTTCTTTGTAATTACAACAAGGAATTAGTACAAATTGCACGCAGGTGTGCAGCAGGCAGAGGGAGGAGGGAGAAGTAGGGAGCAACATCTGGTGTGAGCTACTACTCCCTCTTTATCTTCTGTATTACAGTCACGCTCACCTGGTGTCGAGCTGCAGATCTGCTAACTTTTTCTTTAACTCATCCCGTGACATGCGGTTGATTGTCCATTAGCCAGAGCGATCTCTTTGTACACGGGATGACTGAAGTCACTGTTGGACTGAGGCGAGGACACCTCGGGAGCAGATTCTTCGTCAGGGATGACCCTGCTGCAAGGCTTCGTCTAAAAAGAAATGATATCATCACAATTCATAAAATGATCAGTTGTTGCTGTCTGTTCCATTTGCCCGCACAGAACTGGGAAAAAAGGGCTTTCGTCTAGTCTGCTCCTTCTACATGGAACATGCTGCAAAAAGACTGGAAAATAACTGAACTGATTTCTTTGAATGCTTTTAAATCCAGGTTGAGAGCACTTGAGACCACCTCCTTTACTTGTAAACTGGTTTTTTATAATTGTAATTGCTGTCTGTATGTTGTGAGTGTCACTTTGTTGCCTCTTGGCCAGGACTCCCTTGAAAAAGAGGTTTTTAATATCTATGGGACTTTCCTGGATAACAAAAGTTAAATAAAAAATAAAAAACATGAAGCAATTCAAAGGTGGTTCATAAACGATCATCACTATTTGATATGATGATTCTTAACAGGATTTAGCCCTTCATATGATAAGGTCATCTGTGTGGGGAAATTAGGATGATGTATAATAAGGAAAATGTTTAAATAATCTTCAAGGTATGAAGAAGATTTTGAGGGCATTTAGCTTTTTCTCTCACTGGAAGCACAGGGTGAGGTCAAGCTTTTTGAATTGATGGATTGATTGATTGATTGATTGATTGATTGATTGGGCATATCATGTTAGAATAAGGTGAGGGGTTTGTTAAAAAAACATGAGTGTGCACGGGTGTAAATTGATATATTAAAATGGAGAAAGATGAAAATGTGTTTAAAATACAAAATAAGTTAAAGGGTGGGCCGAAGGCATTAATTAATTTAGCTTGTATTCTCCTTGAATGTTGGAGGTTCAAATTAAGCACATAGTAACTTGCATTTGTTTGGTCGTTTTATTTATTCTTTTCAATATGTTTTTCACCTAAGCAGCTAAATTGAAAGCCTAAAAATAAAAGGAACTGAAAAAGGAATTGTTTGAGTGGAGTCCAGTCCTTTTTGTGTACAATTCTACAATTCACTTAGCAGACGCTTTTATCCAAAGCGACGTACATCAGAGAGTAAGAACAACACAAGCAAGGATCTAGAAAAAAGGGAACAATGTCAGTAAGAGCAAACGATCAGCTTTGAGTCTGATTGGACACACAGGTGCTGACAGGAAGTGACCAGAGGCAAAGCACAACATTGAGGGCAGTTCTTGAGAGCTCTAATCAGTATAGAAACCATCTTATAAGTCGTCGTTATCAAACAAAAAACATCATCACAACCATCATCATCATCATCGATGATGGTTGTGACGATGTTTTTTGAGATATTATGTAGAAGATCATTCCTCTCAAGTTGGGAAGCACAAGAAACTTGCCTTTTTCCATGACTAGAAAACTGTAACTAAACTGTTTTCCAGTAGGCGTGGGGACCTTATTAATTTATTAGGGACAGTGCATATTAATGTTCATTTTGTTCTTTTTTGGTTTGTTTGTTTTTGTTTGTTTTTCTTAATAGCTCGATTGGAGTATTTTTTTTTTGTATTGTCTGTTTAGTTTATTTTATTGGATTTTGCATTTTGTTAATGGTGAAGAATGGGGGTAGGACTTGACAAGCCTGGGCTTCTTCCTATCCCTTTTTGAACGAGTCAAATGTTTATTATACTGAAATTGGCTTCTTCTTTTTTTTTTATATACAGATTTTTATTTTTTCCCATTTGTTTATTCATTTTCATCTATTTTTTAATCGTTCGAAATAAAGAAGAAAGAAATAATGAACAGCTGTAACAATTACAGCTGTAAAAATGTCAGATTATAGCAGAAGTGCAAGTTTCCATCTGTTGTCCCAAGGCAGGTAACAGAGAAAGATAAATTACAAATAAAATACAAATACAAATACACATGTGACACAAGACAATAATAGAGGTTAAAGGTTAAAGGTTAAAGACTTGGTTTTATCCACTGTTTGAGGTGTGTTTTGAAGGTTGTATATGTCTCTGATTGTGAGATATCTCTCATTTATTTCCTTTCTGACAGAACAGTTGTTGTATTTACTTCACATCACAACATAGAAACAGTTTGACAACATTTATAAAAACCTTTTAACCTGAAGATTAAACATTTAAAATTATAAACTGCCACGTTTTTTAATAAATAACATCAGATAAGTATTTAAGTTTGAAATGATAAATACCAATTATACCTGTGACACCTGTTTTTATTATTAAAACAGGTAAAGGTTGTTTACAGGCTGTGACATTAAAACACAGTTAAATATCTTTATAATGAATTAAATTAGCTTCTCACACAAACCTTTTCTTCTTCTCCGGATCAGACATCTTCACATTGACGTCCTTGGTTTGAATATTCTCCTTGTGCTCATCCATTTAAAACAGGGAATCAATTCAAAACAAAACAAACAAGCGCGTTAATTTATGTAAACAAAGATGCTAGTAGCTAACAATGCTAACAATGCTCGGTGACTTCTTCTTCTTCTTCTTCGCGCTTGTCAGCTGTGACGCCGCCAAATAACAACGCTAAAAGGTTAAATTCTTACACAACTTGACCCCGTTAAAAAAATAAGAATGCATTTTAAAGCGATATTGGAGATATTTAAGAGCCGGTTGCACCGATTCATCCGTTAGCTCTCCGCGGCGACATGAAACTTTTCTCTAAGGTGGACAGTTATGACGACTTCCGGTTTGCGCCAAAACAAGACGGTGCTCACTGGCGCCATCGTGCGGTGAGGATGATACATGGCAATTTGCGATAATGAGAAAACGCCCGGTGTTAGGCCGAGAAATGCATCCCTGTCAAGGAAACTTGGAAACTGTATAATCTTTATTTCTGGGGGCAGAGATGTGATGACGAAGTATGTGATGTTGTGAATTAATTAACAAGTTTTGTTTTAATTAATGTTTTGTGAAAGAGGGGCAGATATTATAAGATTAGTCTTCTTTCTGCTCCTTTTCATTCAAAATTTGAGATTTTATGTTTGTTTGTATTTCTTAACTTTATTGTTTGTTTGAATGAAATAAAATTTACAATTAAAAGTTAGTTTTATTTTGATCTTGTTTAGTCTTTTTTTGCAACAAAGTTTTTTCCAATCTACTGAAAGTTTTAATTGATTTCTTTATCTTTATAATTTCTTAATTTCTACTAAATACGTTGGTTTCACAAGATAAAAGGCAAACATACTGTACAAGGCTCTAGCAGTGGTAAATACAGTCTAAATGATTTTCTCTTGTTAATAGAAATACTTTAAGAGTGTAAATACTATCAAACTACTTTGGTTTTCTTTGATATATGTTAAATAAACTATAGGTTAAATCAAATTTGTTAGATATGATATCGATTCCAGCAGTGAATTTAATCCATAAATAATTTATTCTATGCAAAACCACTAAGATTTCCAGGCAGATTTAATTAAGACTGATAATAAAACACGGTTACTGGAAACAATGGCGTTAATCATTTTAATAAACATATATGGTAAAATTTAGTTTACATTAGTTTACACTGTTAAAACGTCAAGATTTAATTTGGAGGCGCTGCTGACAGCTAGGTGGCAGACTAATCCATGCTTTATTCTGTGCCACGGTGCCTATTAGAAATATAAAGTAGAAAGTTCTTACACTAGTTTGTATTTGCCCTGCTTGATGTTGTTGACCCAGGACAGGAGTTTGAGCCCCGCCGGGTCGTGTACTGTGGCTCCTCTGAGCAAACGAACTGTAGCAGAAACAGAGCAGTGTGCAGGGCAAAGAGCAGGAGCAAAGAAACCAACAAAACATCATCTGAATAATGAATCTGAGGCCGGAAACCCTGGATTAAAGATTTATAGTCCACAAAGCAGCCCGACCAAAGAACTGCTGCTTTTTCTGTAGCCAATTATATATCCATCAGCATGCTTAGAGAATAAACTGTTATTGTCTTTTAATGTAGACCAATCAAAAACACCAGACATGTATACAAGCAGCTGTGAATCCTTCAGGACTAAATTAGTTATGCATCAGTTGTTTCACTCATTTCCAAGAGAAGGAGAGATGAGATAATTTACTTAAATACTAAAAAACATTTTGCTTTTTAGCCGCCCTCCGCTGTGCAGCTGCTGTTTGTCAAGTCATTCACAGCAGTTTCATGTATGAACTCCTTGTGAAGCGTGCAGCGCTGTTTGATCCCTGTTCCTTACATCTCACACAGCCTCTCTGATGGATAATGCATAATAGATGATATGTCAGGAACTTTTCAAAAAAGGGAATAATCAGCAGAAAAAATGTAGGGCAACCTTAGAAAAACAAAGATTTATTCTCTCATTTGAAAAAACAAAACAAAAAACAAAGTCATGGAAACCCATAACCAGCAACTCATAATGCACATAGAAGAGACAGAGACGTGAAAATATACAACATGGACTGAAGATACAGCGTAGGAGAGAGGGTTCATGTCTCTCCAAAAAGAGTTTTTTTAGTTAATTGGGAGAAAAACATCAAACATGAATCTTAAAGAAACGAAAAAAGATAGAAAATAATAATTTCAGCGTTTTCTTAGAAAGGCTCATATGCCTTTTTAAAAAAACCTCCATATTTGGCTTCTGAAGGGACACAAACAGAAGTCACACAGTACATGAAATAAGCTGCATTTAAAAAGGCAACAGTCCCCTCATCATCACAGTGATACGGGGTGAGTTAGGGAGCATGGAGCTACATTGTTCAGCTTCCTCTGTCTATTCTGTTGTGCTGCATTCAGGTCCCATGGGAGAAAGAGGCTCTGCAGTATCGATAGTACGGATTTTATGAGCAGTTTTTAAGTTGTTGGAAATGCACCTGATACTTTTAGCTTACTGACTTTTAGGAGGTTTTGTGCAAGAATAGACACGCTTACTTCAACTTTCGTAACAATTTATTCTGCCACCGCAGGGCAGGACTTTATGTGCTCGTTCAATCTTTAAAATGAGTCACGTCTGAGCTGTTTGAGAGTCAGCTGTGAAGACGCAGAAAGGAATTATTGTGAGGAAATCAAACATAGCAGCGATGATATTGATGAACAGGTTTCAACAGGTGGGAATCCTATCGAGTCAGCATCCCTCCGACTGTCTCGTTTCCACATTCCCACAGGGCATGAATGCAGCACGAGAATATTAATTTGTTCTGTTCACCTCTCTGAAAAGGCAATTCAATAAAGATGGAGATTTTAGAGCTTTCCTCACAGTTTTACATGCTAGCTGCTTCACGCTAACGCTGCAGTCTTTGGAACTGAGTAAAGCACATCAACTCACAGACCCAAGTTTTTGTTTTTATCAAACAGCAAAAAAAAACATAAAACAGATTTTTCAAAACGAGAAATCTCAAAGCATCGAGTTGACGCGACAGCAGGCAGCTTAAAATCTTTCTCACTTTTTTGTTCCACATTTTTTGGGGCAAAAATGTTTTCAAGCTTTCTGGTTAAGAGTTCACAGAGAGGTTTGATACTTGTGTCAAGCTAGAGCCAGTTAGCTTAGCTTAGCATAAGACTGGATA